TATTTTTTGAAGCTGCAAAGCACAGTCTTGGACTTAACTCTTTCAGGAACAGAATGGTGAATATCCCAAATTTATCATTCTCCGAGACGCTGCCTTTAAGCAACTTTTATGAATAAATGACCACTGTTACCTCATATAGGCTGTGTTCTGATCCATGAACATCCTATAGCCTTTTGTTGGATCTTCCCAGTTTGTGTCTACAAGTGGCGTTACCAAAGTGTCGACACCCTAAAACAACAAAACTTACCGACCCTACTTTAAGATTTTCATTTTTTTTTGTATTTCATACAAATTTGTCTCACTAAAAATCCCATTTCAATTGTGCGAACCATACCTGCGTGAAGGAGAGATACGCTAGCGCATTTGCCAACTGTTTACTGTCAGGTAGGGCATTCACATCACCTCCAAATGAATAGGTGAAGTTCGAGCCCAGATACCTTGCCAGTTGATTGACCTGCAAGATGATAGCATCAATGAAATTTCTTACGTGTACAATTCAGGCTGTTGTAAAATTCGGAGAATAGAAAGACTCACTCGGGTCATGAGATAATCCTTTGAAACGAGAGTTGAATTAGTGATGGTAGCATCGATGTTGGCCGCAACGCAGGCATCCGAGAAGGCTTTTTCTTTGGTCAAAGCTGTGGAGCTCTGAATATCTTATTTGAAATTGACAATTTCCTGGAAATACACACTCAGAACAATTCACCGGCACCGCAAGACAAGAAAAAATTGCAGCGGTCACGCAAAATTTTGTTTATCATTACAAAAATCGATTGGGGTTGTCGTCGCGATTGGGAACCTTGTCAGGATTTTCAGATCGAAGTTGAATACCGGAACTTCCGCAGGACTTTCACAAAGACCTGCGGAGATTCCGGAAAATGCCAGTGGTTCCGCAGCACTTCGAGCTGCCAGCAAAAACTTTGAATGTGTTGTCTCTTACGATATTGTCTCGCCAACAACTGGGGTGCTATCTCAACATGTCGTCCGTGGTGCAGAGGATAGTGAGTTAATCTCGCAGTAATAAAGTAAGGTTAAGTCTCGCTTTTTTGCTGTTGTAGTTCGCATTTTTCGGAACTTCCGCGGCTCCACGATTGGGAACCTCCGCAGCACGTTTACGGAACTTCCGCAGATGACACGGCGGAATTATCCCAAACCTTCGGAAGGTCCGTCAGCTGTCTGAGTAAAAGTCTACAATCATTCTGCTCTAAATAGTAATTACTTTTGGTAAGAAACTTTCAAAACTTTTCTAGACGAGAAATCGATAAGTAAAAAGCAGGTCTGCAATATTATCCACAAAGCATAGCTTATGGAATGCAACAGCTACTTTTTCAATTTTTATAATCTTAAGTGCAGCAAGTGCTTTTTTGCTAAAATGATTACCCTATATGTAA